TCACTGTCATAGATTCAACAATAGTTGAATACAGTTGAAAATATCTGATATCTATCAAAGATCAATCTTCTCTCAGAATACTGACAGATCTGTGTAGATGAACTATCAGTTCTGTGAACTATGTTTAATATATAATAAGAAAAGTTTGAATTCCTGACAATGTCATTCAGTTTGATAAATGTGTCTGTCATCTTTCAAATAATAATGAATACAATTCTTCATAAATAGAATGAAACCTCATGTCTTATATATCTCAATAACATTCTAGTCTTTTCAAACTTATACAATGAATATCTGAAGTATCTCAATGAAGTGCTTACAACTCTGACAGAGCATAAGCTCTATATCAAATCAACAAAGTGTATATTTGAAATGAAAGAGTTGAAGTTTGTAGAATATGTAGTGAGTGATGACTGTATACATCTCATTTCAGAGAAATTGAATGTCATAGTAAATTGACTGTGACTGAGCAATGTATATTATATATGACAGTTTCTTAAGTTGATCTCATATTACTGCAGATTTATCAAGGATTTCATATGAATATCTGCACTACTCTCAGATCTCTTAAGAGAAACAGATGCAAATCTGTGAAAGAAAAAGTTTTATTTAATTATCTGAAATGCTGTATATGAAGAGACTTTTCTCACACTGAGAAAATGTGTAATAATATTCTCAGTGCTTATTTAATCAGATTGTGATAAACCTCTCTACATTGAGATAAATGCATCTGAATAAGCTATTAAAGATACTCTTCTACAGATGAGTAAGAACAGCAAGCTTCAGTCAGTGATGTATAATGATAGAAAACTATCAGATGTCAAGCTCAATTACTCAGTGTATGAAAAGAAATTGCTAGTGATCAAGCACATACTAATATTATGAAATAGATATATTAACAACAGATATACAACAATGATGATCATGAATCATGAAAGTCTCATCTATCTATAATTGATGATAAAACCTTTCAAACACTTAGCACATTGAATCTTGAAGTTTTAAGCATACAATCTTCATATTAAATACTAAAAGAGATCAGACACTGTAATATCTGATGCAATCAGTTACAGATCTGATTTCATGAGTGAGAGTTCTGTGAATCAGATATAAGAGAAGTTCATATTAAACACACTGAGAGAGTATAAGAAATCAGAATGAGTGAACACAATGATCTCTCACTTGAAGAATAACAAGGTATCAGATAACAAGTATCTTACAAGAGTAGTAGAAGAGATGCTTTCAAACTTTAAGCTGAGGAAATTGAAAAACAATGTTATACTTTACTGTGATCTAGAATATGTCAAAGCTCTCTATCTAGAATCTTTATTTAGACATAACTTGATGACTTGCATGCACAAGGAATTCAGTCACTTAGAAAGCTCTGAACTCATAAATATACTCAAATCAAGAGTATACTGATCAAGTATGACTGAGAACATTCAGACATACACTCATAAGTGCCTGAATTATCAGGTTGTGAAAGAATCTAAGTAAGAATTAGAATATGAGAAAGTATAATATCAGATGAAGTGTACAATACAATTGTTTAAACAATAAGAGATGAATCTCATAGATATATTACTGTGAACATTAAATGAAAATTGATGAATAATCACTGCTATTGATTACACTACTGACTGGCCAGTTGTGAAAGCAGTTTCAGAGATGATAGAGAAGATAATAGTGAAGTTTCTATATAATGAGATCTATATTAACTATGAAATACTGTGTGAGATTTTAACTAATAACAGTGCAAATCTCATAGAAGAAGTAGTGAGGCATTTTATAAGTCAGTTACAGACAAGACATTGTAGAACAACATCATATCATTCATGAATAAATAGAAAGATGAAATGCTTAAATGAAATCTTGAGTAATATACTGATGAAATATCTAGTTAGCAAGTCTATGAGACTATAAGATGAATATCTCAGAGAGGCACTATTAATCATGCGAATTCAACAGCATGCAGTCTTCAAGCATTCATCATTCTATCTGTTGTATGAATTGCATCCGCGCATTCTGAAGAATGCTTTGGAAAAGATGAGAGGGAAAACAGCAGTTGTGAATGCAACAGTTGTGAACACAATAGTTGCAGACACAGCAGAAACAGCAGTTACAGATGCAGTAGTAGCAGTTGCAGATGCAACAGTTGTGAACACAGAACCAAGATTGAAAGAGATCAGCCACACACATGCAAAAGCTAATAAGTTACTCCTGAATCAAGCAATTCAATTGAAAAGAATATAAGACTTACTAGTTAAGAAATCAAGTCTCAAGATGAGAATATGAGTTCTTGTATACAATAAGAGTTCTGAGAAGTTTCAATCTAGATGATTTGAGTTATATAAAATACTCAAATCACATTCTCTGAGAACTTATACATTGAAGAAATCAGAGAAATGAGTCTTACACAACTTAATAAATGATTCATAACTTATGAAAGTAAAGATGCAAGACCTGAGTGAATTATAGTTATTCACAGCACTATCATCAGTGTTGAAAAAGAAGAGACTTATAATTGAAAAGTCTCACAAAGTAAGAGAAATCATAGACACTTATGAACTAGATAATCTCACTTATTTCAATCTTTTCACAATTATAAGAAAAGAATGAGAAGAAATGAAGAAGTCAGATAAACATCACACTTTAATAAGTGATGAGACTGTAGCCAGTTGTATGATAACACATCACAGATAGCAGATACAACACAGCAAAGAGAAGTCTCAAAGTGACAGACTTACACATGAGTCAGATTACAGAAGAAAAAGAGATTCAGAGTTAAATTTGACTGTTTACATCAGTTCAATTGTGAAGATCATAGAGAATGAACTATCTGAAACATTTACAGACACATGAGACTAAGTCATCTCAATCTCTGAGAATACTCAGAGATCAGATGAGATTAGTTTTGATGAGCTGTTCACTGTAGTGATCTGAGCGGGTGAAGATAGATAGTATAATATGTGAGACAGAATCACAAAAGATGAAAGCTGCTGAACCTAGTCACTGAACACTGTATTATATAGAGGTCATGTAAGAGTAATGACTAGCAGACAAAGAAAAAGTGTAAGAAAAGAAAAATGAATTGATCATCAACTGTAAGAGTCAGCTACAAAAGACAAATGTTATCATACACATCTCATTCTTTTTCACATGTCATATATTTAATCTATTTCCAATATCACATCATCTGAAAAACATCAAAAACAAAGGAAATCTCAAAACTCAAGATCTGCAAGGAATTCAAGAGCTGTAAGTCACTCTCACAATAATATCATGCATGTCTCTGATTCCTCTACTGCTCTGTATATAACATTAATGTCATTTATCACAAGATTGGCTGGAATATCAATATAGAAATGCGTACATGTACATGTAGAAAAATTGAAGAAGAGCATGGAACCTGCAGGACCAGGAGCCAGGGCAGGGAGAATGAAGGTGGAAGAAACAGAAGAAGAAGAAGATGCAGAACTAGACAAATGACAGTGAGAGTCACTCAGGGCTGAACACTTATAATCTGATGTATGCACAATCTTCTCTGTAGAAGAGGGAGAGAAAGTGATGAAAGAAGCTTGAGAATGAGAGAGAATAGTCTCAGCAGCATTGTCATCTTCAATTAGAATGGTCTCTAACACTGGAGCAACTAAGAATCATTGTTAGTATATGAAAACTGCAAAATCAGAGATGAGAACAGTTACTGAATGAACACTTGCTGATCTTAGAGTTGTACATGCAATTACAACATGTATGAGACTTCTCAGAAAGAGAGAGAGAGATATGAGAGAATGCAGAAAGCAGAATACAGTGTGTGAATAACTCATTTTCATAATAACATCTCAGACAAGACATATGAGTCTTACATCTGTGAGTGTAAAAAAGTATAACATTCACATTCTCATTTCTGAAAACACAGATATCTTTTATATGCATCATGAAGTCAGATAACAGACATCAGAGAATAGACTAATACAGATCTATTATTCTGAAGAAATTCAGCAGAGCAGATATTCTCATAATATTAAACTTTATAGTTATAAAAAGTTCTTTAATATCTGTAAATATCATAACTTTATACACAGTAAAACTCATAATAATTTCTTCTAAGAATAGAAAAATCAGTATCAGAAAGAAAAGATGAAAAAGAAAAAGACTTATAATCTCAATACTGTTAAGAGAAGAGATGATTCTCTGATATGAATAAATAATTACTTTATCACAAATATTTAAAATAAATGTAATAATCAGTGTCTGTGACTGAGCTTCAGATAGTCATGTCATACACAGTCTTCATATAATAAATCATTCTGAGAGTTAGTAAGAAGAGTGAGAGTGTACACACTGAGAAATGTGATTCATTAAGTCTACACAATATCTTCTTGAAATGGGGAGAGCTGATAATAAAAGCAGAGACAGTAAAACCAGAAGTAGCAGAAGTGAGGGTTGTGGGAACAGAAGTAGCAGAAGCAGGAGAACCAGACACAGAGACAGGTGTAGAAGATTGAGAGGCAGCAGCAGAGGAAGAAACAGAGAAGATAGAAAGAGACACAGAAGACTCAGTCACTAGACTGACCATGTGACCGTGTCTGAGACCAGGACCAGATTTTTTGATAGTCTCATTACCAATTCGACTGATCCCATTACACGGTTTTAACATTAGATAGTAGTCTCATACTGTCCCAGTGGGACTTACTGTCTACTCTTGTCACATTTTTCAAATGGGACCATGATTTCCACTTCTCAATTTAAATTATTTTTATTGCTTTAAATGACTTTAAATCTCATTTGAGCATTACCAAAAAGTGTTACTTTTTAAAAAATTAAAAATAGTCTAAAAAAAACCTTAAAATGTCTAAAAATAGTAACTTTATGCCAAGAATGGGACTAAATGAGACCAAATGAAATCACTTTCTCATTTTTTTCAAGTCATGGTTTCATTTTAAGATCTGATATATGGTCACTTTACATGTTTTTTTAATAGCCAGTCCCAGCGGGATTCACGCCAAGAAATGTATGAGACCAGACCAAATGAGACCAAACGTGAAATTCATGGTCCCGGCGGCCAGTCTATCAGTCACACATGATATGAACAATTTCTTCATTATCACATTCTTCAAGTTCTCAATCAATAATTCAACATTGAGTTCACTATCATCAGCAGATGTGAATCTGTCAATATGTGAAGATTCTATATGAATAAAAATAAATATATCAGCATCTGCATTTATACAAAATTGTGTCAGAAAACACAATCAGAACTCACTGAGAAGAAAAACAGTCAAGAGTGTATAAGAAGATGAAGAAGATGTGTCATTCATAATAATATATTCTGGCAATTATTAGAAGATAAACAAGTTCTGACTATGTATGTTTCACAATGTGTTACACTTACTGCTAACAAACTGCTTAGTATGAGCACTACAGTAATACTTGTCATGAGAATGAGAGGCCATTGCCAGAAATGCATACAATGTAATAGGTAAATGAATAGAAGGTGTTGAACAGGAGAAGAAGCAGTAATCTGAGATGAGATAATGATAATGTTCAATGATGATGATGATGAAGAAGATGATTAAAGAATGAGAAAAGTTAGTGAATAAGTAATGTAATATAGTGAAAGTTTCTTTATAAGAGTGTATACAGAATGCTAGCTGAATCAGGAATAGAGCACATGATTATAAATGCTAGTGACACACTAATCCGCATGAAGCTAGAATGAACATCATGTGAGTGTGAGTGTGACTGAATCTGGTGAGGAAGGATGTGATTCAGAAGAATGTACAATCATTAGATAATAACACAGCCGCTTCTGAACTTGCTTACAAGTGTAAAGAGGGTCATAGCAGCCACTAATTAATTTAGCATACAATATTACAATATATAAGAAGCCGGCGTACGCCTGTAATCATACACTGGCTCAAGCAACCTTTGAATTACACAAATAAGATCAAATGTGAAATTCATGGTCCTGGCGGCTAGTCTAGTCACTTTGTATGTTTTTTTAATGATTAGTCCCAGCGGGATTCACATCAAGAAATGTATGAAATCCGATTAAATGAGACTAAACATGAAATTCATAATCTCAGAAGTCAGTCTAATTATAAGACATCTTCATTATTATATTACAATATTGCTTCTTCTGTAATATAGTCAGAGAAGTCAGCTTGAATAACTGTTTTATAGTCAGAGTCAAATATTATTAGTAGAAAAGTATTAATGAATATTCTCTTTATCTGTGTGAATGCAGCTTCAGCATCTGCTGATCATTAAAATACTGAGTTCTTCTTAGTGAGTTCTGTAAGTGATCTAGCAATATCTGAGAAGTTTCATATAAATTATTAATAGAAGTTAGTAAATTCAATGAAGCTTTATTCATCTTTCACAGTGTATAAAGCTTCTTAATCAAGAATACCAGAGATCTTCTCAGAATTCATTCAGATTCTCTTATGAGCTTCTATGATAAAATTTAGATATTTTATACTCTTGAATTTAAAATCACACTTATCTATGTCTATTGATAGTTCTGCTTCTCATAGTCATTGCAGTACTCTTTATACATGTTCTTGATATTCTTTTCTAAACTCATCAGTAAAGATGAGAATGTTATCAAGATAAGCAGATACAAACTTATCAAGAAAATCTCAGAGTGCTCAGTTGATATACTTGGCCTCAGTGACTGAATGATTAATGCAGCCACTCAGTAGCACCTTGGCGTGGGAAACCAAGGCGCGTGGGTTTGAAACCCGTAGAGAATACATTAAATCCGGAACTCAAGCATCTCAGGTTTCTAATAAATACAGAGATGTACAAATCACTTCAATGAATCACTCTATATTTCTGAGCTGAGAAGTTATTATTATATGTATCTAATTATCACTTCTTTGTATTTTTCTATGTTCTTATTATCTTGGTATAATCTTAACATCTGTATTTCCTTCTGTATAATCAACACTTGACCTGTATTTAACATCATCCAAGGACTTATTATAAGCTCCGCTTGCATATAAGTATAATGACAGAATAATAATAATAATAAAGTTAATATACTTGTGCAATATACTGAGAGTATTAGTTAATTCAAAAGATGTAACTACTCATTCAAAGAGATTATATTATATTTAAAATACTGTAAGTCACTCATCTTCTTCACTAATACAAATCTTATAAAAAGCAGTGATAATATCTAGTTTTATAAATTATTGAGCTTGTCTGATGTGAGCTAGAGTTTCATTGATAAGAGATAAAAAATAGCAGTCTTTTCTTATTAATCTGATCAGTTCTCAATGTTGATGATTACTACACCTACTCTAGTCACGTGCTATCTCAATCTATTTAGTGTAACTCGCGTAGTTAGATTACAACATAACAATGTTATTTTTTAAGAGGTTATGAAACTCTTATTAAGCTAATGAAAACCGCTGAAATAATGTGTTAACTACATCTTCATGTATCATTACATGTATCTAGATGTTTTTTATAAGTGATTGAACTCATGATTAATCTAAAATCTGAGGAAATGCCTGACTTAATGAAAGAACACATGCCTTCAAGGCAGAGAAATGAGAAGACATTAGAACAGCAGATGCAAAATCACAGATCATTATCAACATCAATAATAAATTGAAAGACAGCTTCTGAGAAGCTGGACGAAATGATCACAGAGAAACAGTCTGATAAGTTTAACAAATACAAAGACCTGATTGAAGATATCAGTGAGATGTCAGGCAATGCAGAGGGCTCAAGTAACTGAAATGACAATAGCTCAGTGAGTGAGAAGACTCACATGAGACTAGAAATTGCAAGACTTCAGCATGAGGTTGAGTAGATAAAGATTAGTAGAGGTGACTCTGCAGATGATGAGATGAAAGCAGATCTGACAGAATATCTTCAATGAAAGAAGAAGACATCTATTATAATGAAAGTTCTTGAAGAATTCAGAAGCTAAGTAAGACTCATCAAAAGATTAATAGTTCTCACTGAATTCATTAACTACTGAATGTGAAGAGAGCAAATTCTTGTGACTGTAGAATAGTCTGAAACTGATAATATTCTTGAAGATAATAGTCTTCATGAGAATGCTACTATGAATATATAATATTTCTGAAAAGAATACAATCTTTGATTATATAATTACATGTGGTCTGCAATTGCTCTGCAGGTCAAGACTCATTTCACTATACTCAAGAAGTTCAAATTATCAGTTTATACTCTATGAACTATCATAGAGGATAACTTTTCTGAGAGACCTACTGTACACAGAACTCATTTATTTGAAGAGCTTATTGAAATGATCTTCAAAAGCAAAGAATCTGACAGAGCTTTAATTGAATGATTAATTATTATAAGAACTGACTACATATGCCTAGAATATGAGACCCTGAATGTTGTGTTTTTTGACAGACTGCTTACAGAAGTCAACAGAGGTTGGGCCTCATTTATAAGGAATTGAATGAATCAAATTGACAAGAATAATACTCAACTCTTAGAGAATGATTTTATAAGCCTGTGATGTGATATTCTTTTGTAACTCTCTGCTGTAAATAAAGCAAATACTGATGTGTCTAGAAATCCTATCAATAACATGTAAGATAAGAATAAGAAAGACAAGAATAAAGAGAAAGACAATAATAAGAATAAGAACACTGAATTCAAATCTAAATATAGAGATAATAACGCGACAACCTGCTATCATTGTCAAAAGATTAATCATATTCACACTGACTGTTGAAAGAAATACCCTGAGAAACATTCTTTGAATTTGAATTTCAATACAAATAGGAACAAGGATAAAGACAAGAATGTGAAGTATACAGGTGCTGCTCCTGTTCACAATGTTATGAAGCAAGTATTTTGCATCAAAGAAAAGGCCTATGTGAGTGACCATATAGGAAAAGATACCTGAATTCTAGACTCTGAATCAGGCGCTCATGTCACATCTCACAGGGATCTTGTTGTGGCAAAACCTCAGAAGGTGAAAGTGAGGTTAGAAATAACAGATGAAATGATAGTCTCTGCTGCAGCTATAGAAGATACAAAGATTTCAGTGAAAGAGACAGATATGCTGTTAAATGATGTCTGCTATGTCTCAAAGTTAGAAGTGAATCTCATGAGTATGAGTAAGCTTGTACATCAGAGTTATACCTATAAGCAGTTGACACATGGGAATAATCATACTATGTTGATTATATCTCTCAATCATATGTTCTCATTTACAGCAAGATTAAATGAGAATGATATCTATGAGATGGAAAGGCTGGTTATATACAGAGACTTGATTCAGTTTGCTATACTAAATAATGAATTTGAACCTGTGAAAATTCTACAGTCTGCAGAGAAAAAATATCCTCTGCTAGCATTGCTCAATAAGAATATCAAGATTGTTGAACACACAATGTTACAATAACATCAAAAGCTTGATTATCTCAATTTCACAGATATCACTAAATTAGTGACTGATTCATAACTAGCAATGAGAATCAGAAGTGACAGAGCTTTGTCATTCTGCATGACCTGTGTACAGGTAAAAATAGCACATTCAACATTCATATCAATGATAAGAACTGTCAAACCTGCAATGAGATTCTTTATGAATCTTGCAGATAATAGCTGTACACTATATAATGAAGTCAACCTCTCTACTCAGAGAGAAGCTAATTATTGAATAAGTATTACAGATAATGCTACACACTACAGATGAATTATTCTTATAATATTAAAGAATGAGATCACTGTGCATTTGATGATCTTTATTGACAGAATTGAGACCACTACTCAATATTAAATTGAGACTTTACACTGAGATGACAGTGATGAATTTAAAAGTGATGAATTAAAGATCTACTATCACTAGAAAGAAATCATATACGAGATCACTATATCTGATACATCACAGTTTAACAGTTCTGCAGAACATATCAATTATATTATAGATGAAAAGACAAGAAGCTTACTATTTAACAGTGAGCTTATAGAAGAGCTTTGAGATAAAGCTATTCAAGCTGCAGTTATGATGATCAACACATTCTCAACATCAATGAAGATATTTGAATGCAAGAAAGAAACATCACTTATATCTTTTAAAGCTTGAACTGAGGTGCAATCTTCTATTCATTGAATACAGAGATGAGAATGCAAGATCTAAAAAAAGAATTTAAAAGTAATAAATAAGCTTGTGAATAGAACTGATAGTAAGAAATGACAGCTGATTGAATATCAAGAATTACACTAATATTATGTGTGAGATTCTGTTGCACATCATCTTGAGATTACATGAGATGTCATATTTGATGAAGCTCTTGACATAGATGGAAATACATCTGTAAATACAGTGAGAGACTTTAATGAATTATCTAATAAATTGAACATTCTAAATATTAGAGAAGAATGACAGCACTGCTTACTACAACATCAAGTAAAGAAAAAGTCAGATGTTTTGAAGGTAATTATCAATGAA